TACAACATTCCCTTGGTTTTCTTTTGTTTGTTTTTTAATCTTTTCCTTACATAGGAATTACATTCATTTAAGTTTCCCTTTTTTGTAAAAGTCTAGCCACATTCGTGTTCAAATAAAAAACCTAGTGATTGATTGATATCTCAACCAAAAAAATTTCAGGCTATACATAACCCGCCAACCCCTGTAACGTATCAAAAAATCATGGGAGTGAGAATTCGGTTGACTCTATTGTCTGTTGGAAGAACTAGGCTACTCTGTCGATGGAAACATGTTCGCTAACGCAACCTATGCGACCAACTTATGATTATCAGGTACAACAAACAGTAAAATGCTGAGGATCGCATGATTTACTTTCACGGTACGCAGTTATTCTATTTCTGGTTGCTGATGCGCAGATTAAAGAAATTGGAAAAGTAATATTTTTTCTATTCTAGAAAGACATCGGCACTTTTATTCGGGTGAATCCTTTCGGAAAAAATGAGTGCTAGCAGTAACACAGTTTCTTTATTGGCCTGGCCACGTCTAATCTTGGCTGCGGTATTTCACGCGCGCAAGTTTCTCCTCTGCGTAGTTGGAAAAACAACCTGAAAATACCAAATACTTTCGAAATCTTCCGACTAGTCGTGCTGAACGATATCACCCGCAACAGCGAAGATCAGTCCATTGTCGCAGCCATCAGCCAAATGCGCCGACCGATAAGCCGAGTGAACATCTACGGGACGATTGACGATTGCCTGCAATTTATCAGCAGCCGTCACGAAATAATCGAACAACTGCACAACTATCCACAAGTGGTTGCCATTTACATTCTCTGTTTCGATGCTGCGTCTACTCCATTGCAGAACCTTCATGACGAGAGTGAACAAGGAACGCAAATAAACTACGTCGAAGTCGACCAGCTCGCTGCTAAAATCGTTGCTGACTATGGTCTAACAGATCTCACTGTAGAAACGAGAGATATTAACTTAAATATGCTGACGCAAAATCGAGGCGGTGGCGAGAGTTCGACAAATCCCACGGCAGAACAATTCGGTGGTCTTGCATTGTATGATATATTTTGTCGAGGACCGAAATTGGACAAACAAGAACTGGTTTCAATATGCCGAGATTATTACGCGGGCGATACCTGCTATCTAAAGATCCTAGATGAATTCACGCGGGATTACAAGCCGTCATGCGCTTTGTGGTGGTACACGAAAGAACCACTCATCTACAGCCTGCTAAACAAAGCTTTGCGTGCATTCGATAGACATCTTATCAGTCTATTCGCTTTTTTTATTCGTGACATGCGGCAAGCGCTCGCCAAACTGCACAGCACCTCGGGCTTGAAAGAGCCTCTTCGCCTTTATCGGGGCCAGACGATGCAGCGCGATGAGATCACTTATTTAAGCAAACGGGTCGGTGAGCACGTGACAATGCGAGCGTTTCTCTCGACCACCGATCGGATGGTGGCACTTATGTTTGCATCTCAGCCTGGTAATCAGCCGAATGCACACTTACTGGAGCCAGTGCTGCTTGAGATCGAAGCGGATCCGAGTATGTCTGTACTCACACCATTTGCCAACATTCAGTCGCGAAGTAATCATCCGGATGAAGAAGAATGGCTCTTTCATCTAAATCCCATATTTACTCTAACCGATATTGAGCGAAACGACGATTTCACGAAGCCAACCGTTATTAGACTTACACTGACCCGTATTCCTGAATATCTTCTGACGCCACTCAATCAAATTGCGAAAGTGATGGGAAAGGAGAGTATCTGTTCGTTTTCAACAGGTCTCGTCGCTCTGACCGACTATCTGCACGTGACTGATAGGCAAGTTCAGGAGCGAAAACATTTTCAAGCTTTGTGTGAAGCAGAAGCATCTGCTGAAAAGGGTATGCTTTTTGTCAAACTCGGTAACGAGGCATTTAACAATGGTCACTTTGCTTTGGCCATCGAATGCTATAGAGCTGCCATTCATTCTCCAGATTACTCGTTATCTGACGAAGTGCTGAAATCAAGCTGGGAGAAAATTGGCTACGCGCATGTTCAGCTTGAGCAGATTGACCCAGCGATCGATGCATATCGTCGAACACTCGACATATGTGCGTTTGACGAGAGCTATGCCGAGTCAATATGGTTAGCAACCTGGTGCCGTCGCTGGCTGGCCATCCTCTTAACTAGCCAGAATCAATGCCACGAGGCAATTAAACTTATCCGAGACAATATGCAAATAACTGAGGTCGGGGGAGACAATACGAAAGAATTCAAGGACATCGACTGGCAGCTGTGTCATCTCGATAGGTCTGTGTTCTATTACAGCACCTTCCCCGACGACCAAGAATGGCTTTTCATGGTCTACAATGTACTGGCTGACGCCTACACAACTCTCCACGAGTATTCAAGAGCACGCATCAGCTTGCAGCGTGCTCTCGACATCTGTCGGACAAACAACATAACGAAGAAAATTAAGTCAACACAAGCAAAACTGGGCCGCTTTTTCTTTTGGCCCGATACAGGCTGGGTGCTGCGCTGAAGCATGTGAAGCAGAGTATGTCCGGAAAAAATATTCCGCATGTTCCTGGCTCATTTCAAAGTTAGACAGATTTGTGAAAAAGTAATCAAAGGATATTCACAGTGATGTCTAAGTTCTAACTTCTTTATGGTACGACTGTAATATTTTTCTTTTTATTGATATTGTAGTGAGGTTCAGTCGGGACTGTCTTCATTGTATCGCACAAGCAAACAAAATCCAAGATCTTTAAATTCGATGTTTTATTCGATCAAAACATCTTTGACTCTCAGTTGGCATGTATTCGAAAAATAACCTTAGTGCTTCTGTTTTCAAATCGAGACCAAGCAACAAGAACAAGTTGGCTCTATTTCCTATTCTTGATTGTATATGTCGTCATGTTTTATTTGTAAATGTCGTTCGTGGCGATATAGTTTTGTTTTTATTTTCTTATCTGTTCCATTTGACAAATAAAAATCAAAGTAAAGAAAATCACAAAACAATATGATAAAAAGCAACAAAATCGCCATAACTTTCATAAAACATTTCACAAAGAGAATTTCGTTTATTTCACGAAATCAGTTCTGCTGAATCAGTAACAATCTTCGTGAAAAAGCGAAGGAAAACAAACATATATAAACAAAGAGAACGCGCAAAAGCCATCGTTTTGTTGAAAAGATCATACAAAAAAGTAGAAGATAGGAAAGTATTATGTAAAAAATGTCTACGCCTGTGTACCAAATGTTATGTACGAACGACAATACGAAAAAGAGAAAAAAGAGAATACATGACTTTTAAAAAGCCAAAAGTCTTTTGCACAGTACTCTGAAATAGTAGAGTCACCGCGGTAACCCAAGCACCATAACAGCTAGAGACTTTGCATTTTGTGTGGTGGTGCGTCTTACTAACTCCGAATTATTCAGCAAGTTCAGCCCCCTTCAATTGGATGATTCAGAAGATATATGCGTTTCATGTCTTTTCCGTAAAACGCTAATAAAGCCTGACCAAACCGAGATGAAAATTCTGAAAATTTTCTT